ATATATATATATATATATATATATATATATATATATATATATATATATATGTGTGTGTGTGTGTGTGTGTGTGTGTGTCTATATCGATATCAGACATGTGAAAGTCGCGATGTCATGTGACGTCGCGCGATGTATCGGGACTGTTTTGCCATTGCCAGCAATGGGGTGGGCATGGCTTCTGCGTGATGCCTCCGCCCTGTGGGCTGGCAGTTTGACACCCCTGATTTCTCTCTCTCTCTCTCTCTCTCTCTCTCTCTCTCTCTCTCTCTCTCTCTCTCTCTCTCTCTCTCTCTCTTTATATATATATATATGTGTGTGTGTGTGTGTGTGTATGTATATGTATATGTATATCTATGACAAAACTGGAAACACGGATCACCGAGACTAAAAGTTTTATTAAAACTGAGCTTTCGTCAGCGCCTGCTGACCTCGTCAGAGAGTAAGCCAGGAATGGGAGGCACGTTCTTATAGTCTCTGTGAAGCCAACAGTTTAGCTAATGAACGCATTACGGGTCTATTCGGCCCCTGCCCTCCTGCAATCAATTGCATCGATCCTATTTCCATCGGGCTGGCTGACGTCTGTTTGAGTTTGGGTGCTTTGCCTCTCTCCACTCGCCCCGCCTGCCAGGAGTGTTTGTCTTGCCTTGCGTGATCATCTCGCCGCCCGAGTGACTCTTCCACATGCAATACTGCTGTCTCGGCTGGTCGCTCCTCCATCGTGCTGGCATCGCTGTCCACATTGGTCAAGTGCCCTCTTCTGATGTCCGGTCTGCCTCCTCGTCACCTCCTGTTCCGCCGATGTATCTATCTCTATCTCTATCTATCTCTCTATCTCTCTATCTCTCTCTATATCTCTATATCTCTATCTCTATATCATCTCTATCTATACACACACACACACTGATTTGAGAATGCCTGATGAGCCCCAACCAGGATGAAACTGATTGTGTAGTGCCTCCTACTGGCCAGTAGTTTAAGATGACATGAAAAATAGGTTCTCCAGAGGTTATTGAACAATAGTAATAAAACCAGTTGCCAGTGCCGAGGGACGCTGGATGTTCTCTTGGTTCCCTACTCCTGAATATCACTGAACATGAGAAGGTTGTAGCAGCCACAGCTGAATTGCATTTATAATTAGATATTCTGTTTTAAAATATTGTATTGTTTTCTTAAAGTTCAAAGATTTTTGGAGGGAAGGGTATAAAATTTTACATAGGCTTTGGCACGCGTCTTGTTTCCTTCCTGCTCTGTTGCTCTGGTTTGTGGTGTGTGGGTTGAAAGTGAAGGCTTTGGTTTTTTTTTCTCTTTGCAGATCGCACAGATATTCATAGGAATGATAGGAATAATTTTTGGGATGCTGATCGACATAGTTAACAAACATGAAATTTTCTACCTTATTGTACGGATGCCCTATTGGAGTGGAATCTTGGTAATTTTACACGATGGTGCCTTTAAACAATTCAACAACACCACTATCACAACTAGCACATCACAGCAGCCTTAGGGCAAACTGGCCTTTGTTGAAGGTTGCTTGGAGCTGTAGTTTGCCAGCTGTTGGTTTCTGTAAACTTTTTTTTTTTTTACAGATTTTGCTTTAGGAAAAGGATTGCTTGACTAATTCCCTTTTGTGGTGATGTCTGTTTTCCCAAGTTTCAGAAACTTAAGAACTAAGAGCCTACAAATACTAATAGAAGTATCATCTTTTGTTCTTATTGTACAGTTACTTTTCACTTGCTGCCTCGTTCAGCAAACATTCAAAGTTAAAATGGTGCTGGAACCAGTCTTTGATCTTGAGGCCATTGCAGCATCCCCATGGTCATGTGATTGCCATCCAGGCGCCTGGCAGCTGGCTGGTTGGCATTTACAACTGTTGCAGCATCCCATGGTTACGTGTGTGCAATTTGTGATCTTTACAGCTGGCTTCTGACTAGTAAAATCAATGGGGAAGCCAGCAGGAGGTCGGTCACAAGTCACAATAACATGAAGTTGCACTTCACAGCCAATTTGATATGCTTAATGACTGCATCTGAATGTGAGGTCATCAGTCAGCATGATCATGCAATATCATGCTTTAACAACTGTGTCATTTAGGGATAGAGGTGCTGATCCCAATTGTGGTGGGTAAGTGAGGACTGTCTTTATAAATATTCTGAATGTAAGTTGTCATTCTGTGGCTACACTTCCTAGGGCAGTGATGGGAAACCCTTTAGAGACCGAGTGCCCAAACTGCAACCCAAAACCTACTTATGTATCGCCGGGTACCGGGTGGGTATGACCCACTCGGCGGGCGCAGCTACAGTGGGTTTGGCAGACTGGGTGGGCGTGGCCACAGGATGGGTGTGGCTGCAGTAGTCATGCAGATTGGGTGGGCATGGCTGGGGTGGGCATGGCCACCTTGATGTTGCTTATGGGGAGGGACACCTGTGGGAGACGGGCAGGGTTGGGGGAGATCCAGGGGTCTCTGGCAGGTCGGATGGTGGGCTCCCCAATGGCGGCTCCAGGCTGGCTGGCCTTAGGCCAGTGATGGTGAACTTTTAGATACCACGTGCGCTGGGGCGATGCCACGAGCCGCCTCTGGCACGCATGCCATAGGTTCGCCACCACTGTCCTAGGGGCTTCCTTCCATTGGAATCATGAAGCTGAGAGTTATTTGCAGCATCCGGAGCTTTGCTTTTTGTCATAGCAACATGGGGGAAAAAGTTGAATAATAGTGCTGTGTTGCACAAAAATTCAATGAATGTAGCTCCTGGCTGTGACACCTTAAAACATCTGCATCTGCAACTAGAATAGAAAAAGTTGATTAGGTTTCAACACAAAAGATGACCAGAGAACAGTAGGCAATGACACTAGGCAGCAATTTAAGGTGGAAGAGAGATTATGGGTCTGTACTGTAAATCTAGTTCTCTGGGGATAGAGCCATAGTGGTTCACCTTCTTTTCCTTTTTTACCAGTACATCATCTCAGGATCCTTAGCTGTGGCAGCTGCTCGGAATCCCAGGATGCCTCTGGTAACTAATCCATTGGAGAAAAAGTGAAGGTCATAGCTTAATCAGAAAGCTTCCATCTGTGGTATCCCAGCAATGCAAGATTAAGAAAGCCTCTCATCTGAAGCTATGGAGAGCTACAATCCTTTGAGTTGCCAATCACGGGAACTTGGTGGATTTTTGATGTTCCTGGATGGCTAACAAACATCAAACGGAGCATCGTGATGCTTGTGGCTTCTTGTTTAAGAGTGTCTCCCATGAATTCCCTTTTTGGAAGCTGCAAGTCTTTGGCGGATCGCTTTTTGCCGAATTTTGGCAAAGAGGTTCTGCGTCTCCATCTCTGATGGAATATTCTAGTTAGTCGAGACAGTTGCTTCCCTGGAAGCAAACCTCTTGAAGTTGTCTCTCTTCTTTCACAGTGGCTAATCTGCCATGCAAAAGAGACTGTATCCAAGCTGCGCTATTCGAGAGGAACAAGGAGGGGTTGAGCCACTCTTTCAAGGGTTTAAAGGACACCAGCCTCGCCGTTTTTTTCTGGCTAAAGCAAATCTCAAACTGAAATTTTGTTCCCATCGTTATCATCATCAGAGAAATCTCAGTTGCATCATAGCCAGCTTGTGTGTGTGTGTGTGTGTGTGTGTGTGCGCGCGCTTGTGCATTTTGGGGCGTATGTTTATTCATTTATTTTGTCTCCCCTAGGTGCAAAGCATGCTGGCAATGAATGTGTTAAGTACTGTAGCAGCTGGTTTGGGCCTGGCATCCCTGTTTGTCACCTTCGCTCTACCCTACCTATACAGTTTGAGTTTGCGCTGCGGTGATTTTGAAAAAGAAATTAAGGAAAAGTGTGAGCAAATGGAGGTACGCCCTTTTATATAAGTATGTGACCTTCCCAAATTCATCCGTAAGAAGTTAGTTTCCACAAAAGAACTGCATAAGTGCACATGTATCTCTTTGGAGGACATGCTAGTATAAAAATATCCCAAAACTCCCAAACAGAGTTTTAACCATGGAAAGGTTATTACCATGGGATTTCTATAGAATTTGGGTGCTTTTCTTTTGCCCAATCTTTCCAAAGCATCTACACCAGGGACCAGGGTTGTCCTCAGGGATCGCCAAAGTCTCAAGGTGGCAGCGCTAACAGTGCAGTCAAAGTTTTGCTAGATATTTATATGTGGCACAGAAAAAAAAAAACTGCCCGAAAATAGTCTGATTGGGTTGTACCGCCTCATACTCCAGTAGCTCCAGTTAGCCTGAGCTACTTTCAAATGTTATCACTTTGCTTGGAATGCCACGATGCCTCTGATAATTAATCTATTGGAGAAGAAATGAAGGGCATGACCATAACATTCCAAATGATAGCTCATTGCCTCCAATATCTATGGGGCTGCCAGAAAGAAGAGGGGGGGGTCAGCCTAGTCTCCAAAGCGCCTGAAGGCAGGACAAGAAGCAGCAGATGGAAACTAATCAAGGAGAGAAGCAACCTGGAACTAAGGAGAAATTTCCTGATAGAACAACTCCAACAGTGGAGTTTTTAAAAGAAGAGATTGGACAACCATTTGTCTGAAAATGGTATAGAGTTTCCTGCTTGAGCCGGGGTTAGACTAGAAGATCTCCAATGTCCCTTCCAACTCTTACTCTGTTTCTGTTATTGTTTCTATTTTGAACTAAAAAAATGCTTCAACCCCCTTATGGCCTTAGGCCAGTGATGGCGAACCTTTTAGAGACCGAGTGCCCGAACTGCAATCCAAAACCCACTTATTTATCGCAAAGTGCCAGAGCTGCATCAGGATTGTGGTGCCCTCAGGGGGGGGGATGTGGCCTACTGGGTGGGCATGGCTGCAGTGGTCACGGCAGACTGGGTGAGCGTGACCGGGACCAAGGTGGTGGGGGCCAGTCCCTCGCCATCTCTGGGGCATCCCTGGGGGGCCAATGCCGCTTGCTCACTCACTTCCTGCCCTGTCGCTTCCAAACGCCACATGCTCGCTACTCTGGCGAACTCTGCTGGGGCAACGGTCCTCCTGCCCACAGAGAGGGTTCTGAGTGCCGCCTCTGGCACGCGTGCCATAAGGTTCGCCACCACTGCCTTAGGCAATAGAGCCTGCCTATGGCATCCAGCTCATCTTCCTTACTCTAGAATTGGAGATAAGTATGCCTATCTGTATGTGCAAAAATGAATATGTTACTTTTCTGCTTCATTGATAGAATTTCGGTAACGGAATACCGATTATTCTTACTGTGTTTACCGCCCTGGAGTTTTGCATCACCCTCACAGTTGCGTCTTTTGGATGTAAGATGCTTTGCCGAAACACCTTCTCTGAAAACGTAAGATTCCAAAGGAAGATGGGTAGTTAATCAAGGGAAATGGATTGAGAAACATGATACTTTTCATACTTGGTTGAATAATATGGAATAGTAGGATTGGAAGGCATTACCTTGGATAAGGTAACATCTCTTTCTCCCCTCCTCTCCTCAGGCTAGTTTTCATATACAGTAGTACCTCGGTACTTGGTGTTAATTGGTTCTGGGAGGTGTGATACATACTAAAAAGGGACGAGTCCTAAACAAACCATCATATCACCCTTTTTTTGGCCAGGAAAAACTTTCTGTCTGTTCCTTTTCCTATGTCAGTGACCTTCGCAGCAGGGACGACCTTTTGTCTGCCCTCTGTGGTTGTCCCCCTCCTTTTGCAGTGACCTTCCCAACATGGCTGACTTCCTGTCTGTTCTCTGCAGCTGTCCCCCTCTTCCTAACACAGCACATCAAGTACTAAACAAACCCTGAGTATTGGGACAACATTTTCACATCAGAACGTGTCAAGTACCAAATTTGACAAGCTCTGAAGTGGTTGAATACTGAGGTACCACTGCAGGGAGATTCTGAGTTACTCTTGATTCATATGTGTTTTAATGGTCATTAATGGTCATTAAAAGGATAAAATCCTTATGGTGACTGTTTTGGCATGAGTTGTGCTGGGTGCAATTTGGACCACAGAGGAAGGTGAAAAAGCTAAAGCCCAGAGCGATTAGAACCACATCTCCATTTACCATAACTCATTAATTTTGCAGATTTGGCTGTTTTGTTATATGTTAAATGTATACACTGAATTGCATTATAAAAATAAATAATAAATAAAAGCAATGTGTATACTATGGCTTCAGGCTAAAGGATGCCATTGGCAACAAAGATGAAAGATTGCTGCAAAGGTTGCCAATATGGGGTAGTTCACATGTTGTACTAAGCGTGCAGTAAGGGAATTAAAGAAAAATTTGGCTTCACACATACACTGTGTTGCAAATCTGGCTTATAAATGGTAGTGGATAGTTTCTCATATTGCAATAAACCTAAAGCAAACAAACCACCTTATGAATCTCAGCTCAGATTTCACCTGATCGGCAGAAGACAATGAAAGGTTCTTACCACCCAAATAAGAGGTGCCTAATCTGTACACGGTCCAGCTAGCACTTCAGACTGAATTCCAAAAAGATGTTTTGAAATGTATGACAGCTTGAATCCAGTAACTCTATTAAAGTTTTTAAAGCAGCTGCATCTTTTTCTGGGGCTTTGGAGGTAGCTCTAGCCATGCAAATCAAAAAAGGATTCAGCTGCTTTAAAGAGAGATAGTGCTATCTTTATGCTCCAGTAAAGATTAAGATTCCTCTCATAGGAATGGAATCAAAGTGCTGTAGAGTCTTATTCGAAGCAAGGACAGATAGAATCAGTCAACAAGCTGTTGGAAAGCTGAGGAATTCCATTCTGAGCTGTGGAATGAGAATGTATGCACAAAAAATGGTCCTAAAGCTTTTGTTATTTGTTTCATTAGGTTGTGGTCATTTATCAGAATGTGTCTCCTGCCAGTGTTGAACAACCTCCACCTCTCGACTGCAAACAGCCAGCAATTCACCCCTGAATTGCTTTTCTTTCATAGCAGCTATTTTGGAGTGCATTTGCCTCCTGCATATTGAAGCTTTAAACTTTTAAAAGAAATTGCATGGAAGTTTTAACCAGTGGAACATAAAGGGTTTTAATGGACTACGCAAAGCAGTGTGTGTAAAAAATCTTCTGAATGTGAATATTTTTTCTTGCTGGTTAAAATATCTCTTTTTGAACTGGTCAGCACTTTGCATCAGGTTATGGTTTGCTATTGGAAAATGTGTACAGGTAACCCTCAACTTATGATCACAGTTGGGCCCAAAATTTATGTTGCTAAGCAACACATGTGTTAAGTGACTTTTGTCCCATTTTACGACCTTTCTTTCCACAGTTAAGTGAATCACTGCACTTGTTAAGTTAGTAACACGGTTATTAAGTGAATCTGGCTTCCCCATTGACTTTGCTTGTCAGAAGGTCACAAAAATGGATCATATGACCCCCCCCCCCCGGATGCTGCAACCGTCATAAATATGAACCAGTTGCTAAGCGGTCAAATTTTGATCATGTGACCACGGGGATGCTGCAACAGTCATAAGTGTGAAAAATGGTCATGAATGCTTTTTTCAGTGCTGTTGTGACTTGGAATGGTCACTAAATGAACTGTTGTAAGTCGAGAACTACCTGTAGTTGGCTGGGTTTAGACAACATCTTATGGATAAACTATAGTTTCTGCATTACAATGGTTGTGTCACAGATTAAGGCGAAGTCCAAATCTCACCTCAACAGCGCTTAGCAAAATATTTTTTGGCACCCAGCTGCATGCCTACAACAAATTATGCTGGTTGTGTGAAACCAGCTAATGCTTGCAACACATTCCAGAAATTGATGGGTGGGCTGTAACAGTGTCCTCAGGAATTGTTAAAAAAAAAAGGCTCAGCAGCCATATAGTCCCATGAAAACTAAACAGCCAAATTTATAGCCATGATTTAAATTTATAGCTAGTTTGTTCTAGTGGTTAAGTTACCAGGCTATAAACCAGGAGACTGTGAGTTCTAGTCCCACCTGGTGAAGGAAAGCCAGCTGGGTGATTTTGGGCCAGTCTCTCTCATCTCAATTTACCTTGTAGGGTTCTTGTGGGGAAAACAGAAGGAAGAAGTACTAGGTATGTTTGCTACCTTATGTTATTTATAAAAATAATAAAGACTGGGTATAAATGAATACACTGGAAGACAAACGTCTTCCCTGCCACTTGACTTTCCATCAGGCTGCCTTCTGCCAGTCCAGCTTATTTCACTCTTTATTTTAGATATGAGTGCACCTCCAGCCCTTCTAATAAAGTGCTGAACTTCTTGCTAAAATTTTTTATTTTATTTGAATTCCATGGAAATAAAGATGATTGTAATGGTCTGGTAGTTTATGCCTGATTCTCTTTTCAAAGGACTCTTTTCTTGAAAAACTTTTTGTCAGAAGTGCTGCAATAGATTCTCAGTGGAGAATCTGTTCCCGGATCATTGGAGAGTCAGATGAAAAAAAAAAATCACCCTTAGGGACATCAATGGATTCCCAAGCAGACCCCATCATGCAGAGTTGAGTGAACTCAAACTGCTCAGTGGTGTTGTTGGAATTAAACCTGGTCAGCTAGAAACCAGGAGACAGTGAGTTGTAGAAAGCAATGGAGAACCACCTCTGAAATTGTTGCCAAAAAATATCATAGACTTGCCCAGGTGATCCAAACTATTGAAATGGACTCAAAGACACCACAACAAAAAATGGTTAGAATTCTGATTGACTTGATAAGATGATTTCGAGTTGATAGAGTTGTTCCTAAATTGTAGGTGGAAGACAGAATGGTATCGAGGTATAGTAGGAACAGTCATATCAAGACAATAGTCAACTAAAAGAAGACTGAGTCCAGGGCAGAAGTAAATGTTTTGGACAAGACCTCCCTAGTTTTATGAAGATAAAGGGAGAGAAGGGGAAAACATTGAGACTTGTTAGAGTGTTACTAAGGCTTTAGTAGTATTGACCTATGTGACATTGGATTCCTAGTCTGATCTTCCTTGAAGGACTAAGATGTGCCTGTTCTCATTGCGTAAAGCAGGGATGTCCAACCTTGGCAACTTTTAAGACCTGTGGATGGGGAATTCTGGGAGTTGAAGTCCACAAATCTTAAAATTGCCAAGGTTGAACACCTCTGGCATAAAGAATTGAATGGTCAATGTGTATGGAGATATTGGTATAGCTGTCCATGTCACATTTTCCATCGCTTTTAGGATATTACATCTGCACCCATCTCCTATGAAGGAAACCAACTTCACAGAGTGTTAGGCTTATCACTCCCCTAAAAAGCATCACACGAGCACACATACTACCTTTATATGTGCACAGACTGACATACACACAACAATCATGCCTTTTTCCCCCTGCGCTCATCTATGGACACACCATCAATGTGAGCGCAATCCTTTATTGCTAAATCTACAGTCAATGGCAGCTCCAGAAAATTTTCTGTTTGAGGAGGGTAGCAGAGGGATTTGAGAAAGATGGCAGATGCTATTCAACTTGTCCCGTGCTGGCCTGGAGGAGCAGATTGGAAGTGCGCGTCGGAAGTGATTTCACCTGATGAAAAGGGACAACAGCAAAATAAGTGAGGGACCGTGGATCTAGTAATTATTTATATATCCTAGCAAATAAAAGAGAGGGTCTGGCAACTTACTTATTTAAGCAATCACTTTGTACCGTGGGAACTCCAATGATTGCCTTATCCACTTGAAACAACCAGCGACCTGGTACGCCAACATTGCTGGTCTCCTTAATATTGAGAATCTCAGCAGTTCGGGAACCAGGGATGTTGTAGTAATTTTCTTCGTCCCCGCTGTCAAAGCCAGCCTGGTGAAGAGGCAGAGAAGAGGTAAAGAATGACATCCTTTCTAATTAACACCCTAACAAATTTTCTTGTTGGATTCCAATTCTGGGTATCAACCATATAATGTAGCTTCTCAAAAGGGCAGGATTATTTTGCGATGTGTTAACAGGAGCATAGAATCAATATCACAGAAGGGAATTGTCCCACTCCACCCTGCTTTGGCTAGGCTACTTCTGAGAGA